TATGGTACATGAATCATGTGAAGGAATACTTTGTTGACTCTAGTTTGCATCTCCTTTGATAAAATGCGTCAAGCAGATAATTGTAGTCCAGATATTTTTCATTCAAGCATACCATCTAGTTTAGTGTCTTAATGATTGCGGAAATTTTCATAGAGTCTGTTCAATGGATTGCAGATATGAGGCTACAATTTTTTTTTTTTCTTTTTTTGATCAGCAGATATGAGCCTACTGTTTGAGTTGCAGTTGATAGTAACTGGCTCGGCGAATAGGTGGAACTGCTCATCCAAGCTTGGGGCTAATTAATGGGTTTGTTTGAACTAATCTATGTAACAAGTTTACTTTGTTTTGATGGCCTCAAAGTTTGGAGTCAGATCATCCCCTGAAAGGCTGAGAAAACCAACTGGTAGCCAAGCAGCTGGAGGAAATTTTCCCAAGACTTCACCTCTAGATGTTACAAAACCAAGCAAGCCAGAGCTAGTTAGCCCAAGGAAAGTACCTAAAAGCTTGCAGCAAGTTGTATCAAAACAAGTTTCAACTGCAACAGCAGAGGATGGGAGATTGCTGAACCCTCATAAATCAAAGACTCTGGATTCTTTAATTGATAAAGTAGACTCAAGTTTATCCTTAGATGATCCAAAAGAAGTGTCAACCTGTGTTGCTTCAGTGGTGACCCAGATTGGGAATGGGAGCTTTTCAGAAGTTGTTGGCAAGGAAGAAAAGAAAAAATCAGAACATGGGGTTAGCCCAGCTTCAGCTAAAGTTAGTAATGACACTAGCAGCCTTGATAAGACCAGTGGAAATGAAAAAATAAATGATTGTCCAAGTATTGTTCAGAGTGAAAAAAATAGCATTTATAGAGGTAGCACAAGCAGTGATGTCAGTGATGAGAGCACTTGTAGCAGCTTTAGTAGCAGTATCAACAAACCTCATAAAGCAAATGATCTCCGTTGGGAAGCCATACAGGCTGTTCGAGCAAAAGATGGTTGCTTGGGTTTGAACCATTTCAGACTGCTCAAGAGACTAGGCTGTGGGGATATTGGAAGTGTCTACCTTTCAGAATTGAGTGGAGCAAAATGTTATTTTGCAATGAAGGTTATGGACAAAGCATCACTAGCAAGTCGAAAGAAACTTCTTCGAGCTCAAACAGAGAGAGAAATACTACAGTGTTTGGACCATCCCTTCCTTCCGACATTGTATTCTCATTTTGAGACTGATAAATTCTCATGTTTGGTGATGGAGTTCTGCCCTGGTGGTGACTTGCACACATTACGGCAAAGACAACCAGGGAAGCATTTTTCTGAACAAGCAGTGAAGTATGAATTCTGCCCCTAGTTATAACCATTATAAAGTTAAAATGCTATATGAAAGTTCATAATTATCTATTCATATTTGGCACATGCTGTGGTGGAATATCTTTCATCTCCTTTGTTCATGCTGCATTATCTGTTACCTTGTTTTAATAAAGTGGATCTTATTGTTTATAAGGGACTTAAAGGGACTCTTAATTCACCTTCAAGGAATGCTGTAGAAATAATCCAGAATACTGCATTGACCACTTCTTTAGAGAAAGCAGGTGTTTGAAGCTACTATAGTATCTTTCTTTTTCACTGGTTCTCCAGTGCTCTACAGATGACTCAATTCTCAAGTGCTTGGCTTGAGCTGATGTGGTTATTATAATAGGATTTTGTTAACTAAGGGCACAAGTTAAGCGTGTAATTAATACATCTTTTAGCCATAAATTTATATAAAAAAACAAAAAAGTTGATATTAGTTTTAGCATCAATGCCATGTGTCTTAATTTAATTCGTTAGTTGTTAAAATTAAAGTCAAACTTTATTCTTTCTATGTAACTTAATGACAAAAAGATGCATTAATTACTTACTTAACCTGTACCCTAAGGCTCAAGTTAGAAAAACCCATTATAATGTTATATAAACTGGAAAAGAATTAGATGTGATTGCAATTAGTAAACTCTGAAAAGAATTACATGTAATTGCCCTATAAGTTGTTTGTTTTTAGTGTGCAGGAGAAGTGTTGTGTTATAAAAGTTTCCAAGGAAAGAAAAGAGTTTAATTTATGGAAATGGCTAATTTATCTTTAACTAGAGAAGAGTACGTATTATACCATATAGGTTGATTTTTTATGATGGTTTAAAGAATTGTTTTGTGACTAATGGTACCCTATCTTTTTTGCCTCCAATGCTAACTGTAATTATATCATCTTGCACTGCCACTATATGGGATGTAGAAAATGGGATTTGTCTTTTCCTTCTGCTCTTAAAAGCTTTCTGTTAAGGCTTTGAAATGTCTTTATATTTCAAAGCGCCACATTCCTTTCCCGAGACTCATTTTGTTTTAGCATTTCTTTTATAAGATTATTATCACAATTCATTCCACCTTTATAAGGTGGCATTTGAGTTTTTCTCCTGATGCATTGACTTGAATATGTATTGAAGTAATATTTTTTTTGCATAGCCAAACTAAGATAGTACTATCTATGTACATGAAAAACACACACACACACACACACCCCTCAAGATGTCTAAGAATTTTGTAGATGCTGCCATGATGGTTTAATCATAATCTTGATGGAAATAGGTTGAAAGCATATTCTGATGGTCATTATTTTAATCCATTAACTTTCAATATGCAGGTTCTATGTAGCAGAGATTCTCCTTGCTCTTGAATATCTCCACATGCTTGGCATTGTTTACCGTGATCTCAAGCCAGAAAATGTTCTTGTTAGGGAAGATGGACATATAATGCTCTCCGACTTTGATCTTTCCCTCAGATGTGCTGTCAGCCCAACTCTTGTCAAGTCATCTACACTTGAGTCTGAAGTCTTACGAAAGAATCCAGTGTATTGTGTTCAGCCATCTTGCATTGAACCCTCCTGCATCCAGCCATCCTGTGTGGTTCCCACAACATGTTTCTCTCCTCGCTTCTTTTCAAGCAAGTCTAAGAAAGACCGGAAACCCAAGAATGAAATGGGAAACCAAGTCAGCCCTTTGCCTGAGCTCATTGCTGAGCCAACCAATGCTCGGTCTATGTCATTTGTAGGAACCCATGAGTATTTGGCACCTGAAATTATAAAAGGTGAGGGCCATGGCAGTGCTGTTGATTGGTGGACTTTTGGAATCTTTTTGTATGAGCTGTTGTTTGGTAAGACTCCTTTTAAAGGTTCTGGAAACCGAGCAACCCTCTTCAATGTGGTGGGACAACCATTGAGATTCCCAGAGGCTCCGATGGTAAGTTTTTCCGCAAGGGACTTGATAAGGGGCTTGCTGATCAAAGAGCCACAGCATAGGTTGGCATATAAGCGAGGAGCAACAGAGATCAAACAACATCCTTTCTTTGAAGGAGTGAACTGGGCTTTGATTCGATGTGCAAGTCCACCTGAGATCCCAAAACCAGTTGAGATCGAGCAGGTTCATGCGTCGGCTTCATCAGCTGGCAGTAAAGCTGCTGTTGCTACCACAGCTGCCAATGATAATAACTATCTTGAATTTGATTTCTTTTAAGCATTCCTCAAAGTCCATCTCTGGCCTGCTTTTCCTTTTCGGTTCCTTTTTCTTTTTCTTTTTTTTTTTTCTTAATTTATTTAAGGAAATGTAGAGTTATATGATTTGTGATGATGATGTTCAAATTAGGGTTATTTTAGAATGATACTGATCATATGCTTGATTTTCTTCGAAATTGGTATTGCATAATGAAAAGACCAAGTTTGGTTTCAGGTTTTGACTCTTGTACTGTTCATGATCATGAAAACTTATGCAGGAAATAATGAGAACCAGCTTCACCTTTTAGTTTTTAGTTTGCTAAGATTTCAAAAATGTGTTGTGTAGTGTGGATGGTATAACTTAAATCATTCAATATAGGATAGGTTTCTTGATATCAAGAATTGTCTTTTCTTTAATAATTTTTATTTTATAACTTAAACAATAAAAGAAGGAACTCTTAAGATTTATTCTTCATTTATATTTGAAAATTATATACAGACAATTTGATCTTACAAACTTTTATAAAGTTGAGGAAAAGCAAACTCTGATGGAAACCTTTAACACTGTGGAAAGGCATTTTCTATGGAGTCAAGAATAAACTTTACTAAAGGGAGTATATCCTTTAAAACCAAAAGAAAAGAACTCATCTCTTCATTAGAGAAAATGGGTTTGAGTTCATCTGTTATTTTTAAAATAACGTCCGAAAGTAGACTATCTTTGTTATTGAGGCCAAGAGTTATCCAGCAACCACCAAATGGACGTTCAAAAGTATGACACCTGGATTTGAACTTGGGATTGAAATAGAGATATGGGAGGTTTGCTTTACTGACTACAGGCATGATGACAAGGGTAACATTAACCATTACAACTTAGGTCTTAGCCTTAAATATGCTTAACGCTTAACAACTCTTTGAAGTTGACATTTGAGTTTAAGGTCTTTAGTCATGATGGATGACCTTGACTTGTATATTCCATTTCCTACATTATATTAAAATATAATGTGAGTTAATGACTTATTCATGAACCTTGTTAAATATGATTGTGATGCATTTCTAATAATATGATAAGATTTTTGTGATTTAAAACACACTGTTATAGTTATTATTCAAATGATATTTAACATTCTATGACCTTCCCTAATTGTAGGTAGCACCTTGGATATACATTTGGTCTTCACACTAGCAGATTATAGACATAAAATAAGTAAAAAAAGGGGTTCAAAACATGTTAGTTCATTGGATTCTGATTTTAATGCATAAGGTTTTGGTGGGGGAATATGGAATCCAAATCCAATACATGTGAAACACTCACATGTATATTGAAGAAGAAGCAGAGACACCTAAGCGGTATGGTTATGCCACACCTTATATTGTTAGAGCTGCACATTATATAGATAGGGTTTACACAAATTTTAATATTTTATTTATAAATAGTTAGTTATGATATTTAAAATATTAATTTATAAGTTGCACTTGGGCCTTTGGATTCAATGGCGTCAGGCCACGTATAAGTGTATTCCTCCACCCCAAAGCAACGGTTCGAATTCGGTCCTTACGAATTTGTTAAAAAAATATTAATTTATAAATTGATTTTAATTTATTAAATAATAAATATTAATTATTTTATAATTTATTATTTAATAATTATAATTATTAATTATTTTAAATAATTAAATTAATTTAAATTAATATTTTAAAATACAATATTTAAAAATTTATGTGGCAGTAACATTTTGATTCTTGACCATTACCTTGTCCAAACCCAAGGTTCATATTCTTTTATCGTGAATAATATTATGATTGGGCAACATATGGGAACATTCTTAGCTTTTTGAAATTTGTTCCTTTCATTTTCTAATTTTTTGATTTTGGTGAGTGCAGGCATCTATTCCATGTAAATTTGTCCTGCTTGAATTTTTATATGCTCTCTTTTGTTCGGTAGAACCAATGCTTTCAAAAGCAGTTTTTAAAGTTCTAAATTATTAAAAGATTTACCACATCTCAAAGAATTTGTCCTATGTTCTTGCCTAAGTGGCATTGTGTAATCTTCTTTTTTGGTGCAAGTGAAACTAAGAGATCATATGGGGAAGTTGGATAGGGAGATTGCGGATATGGGTAGTCCTTCAATGCCATGCCGAAGTCTAGGTACTGGCATTTAAATTTAGAAAAATAATGTATACACCTTATCAAGTTACATATTATACTATACATTAACGATTTTTGTTATTTGTATCGTTAAAATTAACGATTTTTGTTACTTATATCATTGAAACTAATAATTTTTGTTATTTATACTATTAAAATTGACGATTTCCGTTACACACTTTCGTTAGTGTGCAACGAAATATATGATTTTACAAAATATATGTATTATTGTCCTTTAATTTAATAATTATTATGTAACATATACCTTTTTTAATAATAATATATTTGAGTTGAGGAGAATAGAGTGAAGGAGAAGATTTTTTTTTTATTTAGTTATCACAAAAAAAAAAATTTGAAGGAAATGGAAGGAAAGAAAGTCCTTTGATTTATTTTTTCTTTCAATTTATTTATTTCTGCAAATAAGAGGAAGGAAGGAAAATGAAATGATATAATTCTTCTTACTTCTCTTTCCTTCCATTCTATTTCTCTTAAACCAAATATATTATAAAAACATAAAGCACATAATTTATTTATTAAAAAAAAATTATGCAACTTTGGAGAAGTAGAGTTCTCATGTAATGTAAACCCATTGTCCACTACATCCATTCTAGAGCCATACGCTGCCAAATTTTATACTCAAAAACAGAAGCGTTTCTTTGGAATACACTTTTTTAGATTCTTATTTTATACAACTCACACTAATGCTTAGTTAGGTGGAAGAAAGGATATTTGAAAAGAACTCTTTATTTTATACTTTGGATTACATAAATTGTAAAATAAAGATTATTAGATAAG